GCAGGAGCTGAAGCTGCAACGTGCAGCCCTGCGGTGCAGCAGGCTTGCGGCTTTCCCGCTGACACGTGTTCTCCTTCCAGAACCGGAATCCCTTAGTGGCCGTGTACTACACGAACCGGGCCCTGTGCTACCTGAAGATGCAGCAGCACGACAAGGCGCTGGCCGACTGCAAGCGAGCGCTGGAGCTGGACAGCCAGTCGGTGAAGGCTCACTTCTTCCTGGGGCAGTGCCAGATGGAGATGGAGAACTATGACGAGGCCATCGCAAACCTGCAGAGAGGTGAGCAGCAGCGCCTGCAAAACGGCTGCTGAGCTGCGACGGGCGGGGAGAGGCCGCCAACACCTTGCCCGCCAGCCTGGCAGTGCTGCAGGCAGGAGCCCAGCCCTGCGTAGCTGCACGGGAGCGAGAGATGTTTCTCCCCTTAAAAGCGCAGCTGCGAGGGATGCTGTCTGCTTGCAAAATGGGTATTTGCGTTTGGCTAGCGGAGGCCAAGGGAGGAAGAGAAGTTGGAGTTTCGTGCGGTCACGTCACATCGCTCCTGGGAGGAGTGCCTGGAAGGGTAGCTGGGATGCGGGCAGGAGGGATCAGATTCCCTTGCTGGGTAATGAGAGCTGTGCCTGCGCCGTAGCATTTGCCGTCTGAGCACCCTAGAAATCTGTGTCCCGAGCAATGGCCCTTTGGTGGCGGCCGGTGGAGTCACAGCCCCACCAAGGACCCTGGTGTTCAGTGTCAGCTGCTGTGAACGGGCAACGTCTGTTGTGCCCTCTCCACCTTCCCCTGGGAAGGGCCCAGCGTTGGGCTGGAAGCAGCAGAGCTGGGGTGGCTCCACGCTGCGCTGCTCCTGCCCCACTGAGCTGCTTCGATGGCTCTAAGAGGCCCCCCGCTCTCCCCAGCCTACAACCTCGCCAAGGAGCAGCGGCTGAATTTCGGAGATGACATTCCCAGCGCACTGCGCATTGCCAAGAAGAAGCGCTGGAACAGCATCGAGGAGAAGCGGATCAACCAGGAGAATGAGCTGCACTCCTACCTGACCAAGCTCATCATGGCAGAGAAGGAGAGGTACCGCGGCTGGCACCGCGCTGCGGGCGAGGGGCGCCCAGGGCTGCGGTGAGCTCAGCGCCAGCATGGGGACACAGCGAATCCATGGGCCCGTGGCCACCAGTCTGTCCCAGTTGCCCTGGGAGCCAGCACCATCCTTGCATGAGCCCTGTGGGCTACTTGGCTTCGGATGTGGCTAAGCCCTAAGGCGTGGGAAGAGGGGTGCTGTGTGATCCTGACTTGGATGATGCACGTAGGGAATGGGAAAAGAAACAAGCTCCAGGAAACATCTTCTAGTGCGGTGGCCCTACACTGGGGGCTCTCCAGGTCTGTGGGCAGAGCTGCTGCCTTCCCAGCAAGCCCAGCCCTGGAGCGAGGTTAGCGAGAGCAGGGAGGGCACAGATTGTTCCTTGTTGTTGTGGAGCATCTTGCTCTGTGGTGACTTCTCCCACCTCCGTCTTAGGGAGCTGGCTGAATGCCGAAAGACTCAGCAAGAAGAAAATGTGGATGACAGTCGGAGCCGAGCTCAGCTGGCCAACATCGAAGCCAAACACGTGAGTGCTGTCTCCCTCACTGCGTGTGCGACCCTGTGGGAAAAGCCTGGGCTTCGGGGTGTCCCAAGCAGCAGGCTGGGGAAACGTGGCCTCCTGCGGGTCACACGTGGTGCCGGGCAGTGCTGCAGCAGCATCTCGGGGTGGCACTTTGCCCCAGGCTGTTGCAGAGCCTCCTTGCCCTGAGGAACCTCAGGAAAGGCCGGGCTGCAGCCACTGCCTGATGGCTCCAGAGGCTGCGATTGCAATAGCAAAAGTCAAGAGCTGCCCTTTCACTGACCAGTGGAGGCAGTTTGGACTCAGTGCTCCAGCTAGAGCGGCCACGGTGCGAGTTCCTGCTGGGTTGTCCTCTGAGTGTGAGCTACAAGCACCTTCCCTCACTGGGTGCCCCGACACGGCGGGGGCTTTTCAGCACCGGCTTTGTCCCTCATCTCCTCAGGAGATGCTCCAGCAGGAGCTGCCCTGGCTGGGGTTTCACCCTCCGCGGGTTCCTCCGCGCTGGCAGCCCTCCTTGTCTGCACCCGGGGCGAGCTGGCACCACGGCACCTGCTGGGCGCTGGCGTTTGTGCTGCAGGATGCGTTGTAGCTGCCGGGCCCTTGGTGGCAGCGCGACACAGCGCGCCCGCCCCCTCGGCCACGTGTGTACGGCCACGCATGGGCCTGCGCCGCAGAGCAGGGGACTAATCCAGGGATAAAAATAGCCCAGCAAAGGAAGGTTATTTTAAGCTGGATCACTTCTAGCACCCAGCACAGCCGAAGCTGCACGAACGCCACTGTGACTCAGCTGGCAAGGTGTGCGGTGCCGCGGCCCGTGCCCACGCCGCTGCGCTGCTGGGACCCGCTCGCTGCAGCCCTGCGCGAAGGCGCTTCCCTGGAGCCGACCTCTGGGAGGCAGCAGGACGCGGAGCCCTGCGGCTGGCCGCGCACCCACGGAATCCAGGGGCAGGGAAGCATTAGGGAGCTCATCCTTCCCGCGCGCCCGCTGCGCTGTCCCCTCGTCAGAAAGGTTTTCTTTCAGGACAAGTACCTGGCAGACATGGATGAGCTCTTCTCGCAAGTGGATGAGAAGAGGAAGGTGAGAGCACCTGCTTACACCCAGCCCCCTGCTCGGGCGGAGTGCTCGCTCTAAACCTGGCTTAGCCCCAGCACCGAGGGGAAGCTGCGGTTTGAATTTTCACCCTTTCTCTTTTCCACCTCCCTGGGAGATGGGCTGGCGTCCCAGGCTTGGGGGCAGTTTGGGAGTCCCTCCTAGAGCCACCTGCACCCAGAGCGGGGGCAGAGCTGGTGCCTGGCTGGCACTGGGGTCAGGCTCACAGATCCTGCCCCATTGGCAAAGGGAGAGGCCTCTGTGGAACTGGATTTAAGGCCAAAAGGCCTTGGGATGCAGAGATGTGGGAGTCAGCTCCTGGTGGGCAGTAGAGGGAGGGAGAAAACGTGTGCAAGAGGTAGCAAGTCCCCCTCCCAGCTATTGCTGCAGCTCTTCGGCCACTTGCACCTTCACCAACAGCTCCCAGCTCTTTTGTTTTCTTGGTTTGGTTTGTTTGCGCAGCTCTTCGGCCACTTGCACCTTCACTTGTTTTCTTGGTTTGGTTTATTTTTTTATTGCTGCGCTCACCCAGCTCTGCTTGTCCTGAGCCAGAAGCGGGACATCCCAGACTACCTGTGCGGGAAGATCAGTTTTGAACTGATGAGAGAGCCCTGCATCACGCCCAGCGGGATTACGTACGACAGGAAGGACATAGAGGAGCATCTCCAGGTACCAGCAGGCTGGGGAGAGCCCTGGGCACGGGACAGGGACCTGCTCAGCTCTGCTTGCGCTTCCTGGGACCTTGCAGGAAGCTTCATCTTGCTGGGGGCATTGCTGGCTGTACCAAGCCTGGCTTTGAACACAAAGGCATCTGTCTGCCCACAGGGATGATTTTGAGCAGTCAGAGCTTGAAAGCCTTCAGCGGGCTCATGCCTCAGCTTGTAGGTGCCATGGTGGGGTGCATGTAAAGAGGAGGGGGGAGCCTCCTTCCATGCTGCTCTCTTCCTTCTCCCAGAAATGCTTCAGCCTTGGTAGCACAAGGCTTTGAGCAGCTCCATGGGAGGCAGGGCTTCCCTGGGCTGAGCTGCCCTAGGTGGAATGCCCAGTTCACACCCAGCTCTTCCCTTGCAGCGTGTGGGCCACTTTGATCCTGTGACGCGGAGTCCTTTGACCCAGGACCAGCTGATCCCCAACCTTGCTATGAAGGAGGTGATAGACGCGTTCATATCAGAAAATGGCTGGGTAGAAGATTATTGACGGCCAAGGGGGCGAAGCTGGCCCGCCCGGACCCTCCCTGCCGCTCCGGCCGCGGGGCGCTCGGCCGCAGACTGCTCTCGCTGGGCTGGCACCATGCCTTACTCACTCTGTCTGTCCCCCTCCGCTCTGGGTGCCCGGAGACCCCTTGGCAGCACTGGGCTAGGGTACGCTGTCATCTCCCCTTCCCACGGAACCGCAGCGGGCTGCACGGGCTCCCTTCCTCCACCGGGTGCCCAAGGCCACACGGGCAGCAGCAGACGGCCTTGGCTGGGGCCGGGCCGGCCCGAGGAGGGGAGCCCTCGGCTCCGCAGGGACACGGTGCTCGCAGGAGAGCCTGGCTGGTGGCTTGGAGGAGGAACAGTGGCTCAGAAGGTCCAACCAGCATCTTCATCGCCCAGAGAGAAGGGACCCTCCGCTGCTAGGGCAGCTGATGATCTCCAGAGAACGTTCCCCTGCCCTCAGCACGAGCCCTGCTCCGGGGAGGTGCTGCAGCGAGAGCCCGGCTCGGTGATAGGCGAGGAGCTTGCTTGGACGAGCACTTGGTGCTCCCCGTGCTGATCTGGCCTGGTCCCCTCTCCCTGTACATAGTTTGTTTCCTATTCATTCCATCTCTTGTCTGTCCCATAGTATCGTGTCTTACTGTTTCCTGTAAAGAGCCATGTGCAGGGAATGGGAGACCAACCTGTACTTTACAGACACTGACTTGGCTTTGGGCTTTTTCTGGGAAACCACTACCCCTTGGCTGGAAGAGGCTGTCCTCACACCTCTTCTTTCCTGCCAGCCCCGGGACTGTAGTTGCCCGTGAACAAGCATCCAGGTTGAAGTTCATATTCCTTTTAATTAAATCCCTTAAAAAAAAAAAAAAAAAGTCTGACTGAGGCTAAAGGATTTGGGTTGTTGGAGGTTTTGCTGTATGGTTGGCCTATAGCCTGGCTTTTGAGCACTCTGGAAGTTTGCCAACATCAATAAATAATTCAGCAATAAATGTGAAAAGAGCTTGAATGTTTCATGACTGCAGCCATCTCTGACTGTAAGAGGCAGGAGGGACAGGTCCCCTTCCAGACCTTGACCCCTACAGCAGTGACAGCAGCTGCCTGGCCCTGGTACCGGGTGCAGCTGGGTTTTGCTCTGATTCACCTGAGCTCTTTACATCCAGCCCTGGCAGAGCCTGGGACAGATAAAACCACTCACCTGAGACCCTTTGGACCTGGAACACGGCTGATCTGGGAGACTGAGGGGAGCCTTTAGCCGATACCATAACTTGAGTGCAAGGAGAACCCTTTGCTACCTGGGCTCCTCCACAGAGCAGCTCTGCCAGCAAAGGCCATTTAACCCCAGTATCAGGGCATCGAGCAACTGGCTGCAGCTGAGCCAAGACCCACCCTGCCCTCCTCTGGCTGCCTGGACTGGGGATTACCACAACTCCCCTGCCTTTTCCTAAGCACTAGTAGCCAGGATGCAGCAATACATGAGGAGCTATGACAGAAAATAAATTTTAATCCAAGAGGAAGGAAGGAAAACAGTAAATACCAGAATTTCTTCAGGTACTTGGTCCCTTCACCAGTGTTTGCGCAGGTGCTGCTGCCCTGGCCCTTCACACACAGTGGCAGGAGCCAGAGCTGCCGGCGCTGCAGCGCGGAGCCCCCGTCAGCCGCACTCACCGTGCACGGGCCGTGGCGGCGAGGAGGGGAGCGTGTCCCTGGGCTGGGCCTGGCTGCACGGCCCGGCCGGGCAAGCTGCGTTGCTGGCCCTAGCCCAGGAAGGTGGAGATGAAGACGCTCGTGTCCAGGTTGAGCGTGGCGTGCCACCAGCGGTCAGGGAAATACAGCACCTGCGGGAGAGAGCGGCGCTCCCACTGCGTCCTGCCTTCCTGGGGCTGTGGGGATGGGAGGAATCCCGCGCTTCCCCGTGCCTGTCTGAGCTCCCTCAGGACACCTTCCTGTTCGATCTGCCCTGGCCCCGGCCCTCACGGTGCCACCAGGGCAGTCACTGGCTCCAGGCAGCAGGAGGGGCCTCCTCTCCTCTCTGCCAGGCCTCCCTCCCACTCCAGAGGCAGATGGAGGGGGGCAGGGGGGCTGAAACCTCCCTGCAGCCCCC